TTCCTCTGGAATTTGGCAGTAGTCACGTAATTGGTTTCTTGTCTTCCATTCATGTCCCATCCACTCTATTCCTCATGCATCAGCAGGAATGATTTCTTTTAAACAAATTCGCATGTCAATTTCTGCCTAAAACACTCCATATGTTCCGATGGCTCTTAGAATGAACACCAGGCTTCTCACCATGTTGGGCAAGACCCGTCCGCAGACACTGGGCTCTGGTTCACCACAAACCCGCTTTGTGCCCCTTTAGTCCTGTGTGTCCACCGGTGCCACTCCACCTCGGTTACTGTCACACCCCGCGGGGTCTTCATCTGCTGTAGTCACTCCGCCTACTGCTGTGATCAGATCCCACTGAGTTCTTGACACCACAAAGCCTTCACACTGGCTGTTCCCTCTACCGGGATGCTCTTCCCCACCACTCAGTCTTTCAGTGTTACTAATCCTGAGCCCTCCAACTTCTGAGGAAAAAAAATTCCCCTGTTGTTTTATCTACTCAGATAGTGTTGGGAGCTACGTACCCAAGACAATCTATAAGGAAAGTTAGGTAGGGAACCAGACGGTCATCAGCTTTGGATCAAAAGAGGTTCTCTGTGTATATATTGTTAAAATATGTACACAGATAATAATTTAATAAAAAAATATAAAAAGAGGTTCTCAAATGGGTATTCAGGCAGCAATGTTCATCACAGTCTACTCACAGCAGTGGGGGTGCGTGTTTGCATGGAGATGGCAGTGAAAAATGAGCTCATGATAGGGCGCTCATGCACAGGTGTGGCCATGGCGAAGGCACGCTTAAAATCAGTCAGGGCCACCTCCTGTTGGAGAAAAATGCTCTGACACAGATCAAAACAGCTTTGTGCTTTGGGTAGAGGATACCAGCCACTTCCCACCACTCGAGTGCTCAGCGGCTGTGAGACTCCTTCCAACCAAGATGCTCTGAAACGAGGTACCAAAGGCCAGGCTCACAGGCGGAGGCTTAGAAGACAATATAGAAGGAAGCATTGGGGTGAGCTAGGAGTTGAGGAATAAGAATAGAAACTATAATTTTCAGAAAGCAACAGCACTGATTGTCACTCAAGTCTGAATAAATAGCAGACGGATTCCGGGGAGATGGTGGAGGTAAAGCCGGGTGCTCGAACGAGAGCTGGAAGCAAACGCTAAGCCAGAAGGAGGGTCACGGCGGGGAGGGCCGGAGACCTGCCCTCCTTCCTCCGGGAGAAGAGAACACAGGAGCCTGAGCTGGTCTGCTTCTTCGCTCTCCTCCAAACTGCTCGCCTGTTGGGAGGAATCCAATTCATTCATTTGACAACCGCTTGATGGAGTACCAATTGTGCTCCAGACATCGGCTTGGCACTTGTGATTCATCGGGGAGAAAAGCAGACAAAGCTTCTTGCACTCTGGAGTTTATATTCCAGCGGAATCGGTGGAGGTTTGACGACAGAAAGCAATAAAAACATGATAGTCTTAAGTTGTAATTTGTTATGAGATGATGAGGACTATGGGAAAAACACATGGAAAGCAGAGCAGGGTGTGGAGATAAGAGAGAACAGTCAGGGTGACGAGGGTTTTAGGAACAAATCAGTAAAGTGTGCTGTGACACAAAGATACTTTTCTCATTATTTTTCCTTTTCAGGGGCTCAACTCTGGGCCCAGAAGGTGGACTGACATAACCAGGGTGGGCAGTCCGCCTCTAGCCGGGCCAGCCTGCTTCTCACAGAGAAAGGAGTTCATAGCTAATCCATCTAAAGGGACGTAGAGCTGATTACAAAGAAGGTAATAGGAGGAATGGATGAAGTACCAAAGGTTACCCTCCGCAGGAAACAAGCATGTTGTTGGTTTTCTGAGTCCCCTCGCCCACCCCGTGGGAGGCCTGACAGAGCTGGTCCCATGGTTTAGGTCTCAGCAGACCTGCCTGCGTGGGAAGAATGTCTTTGACCCTCAGACTTCCATTTGTGACCCAGAGGGACATTGACTTTGAATTAACCTTGTTGTGGGCTGGCATCAGTCACTTGGGGATTATTTCCAAACAGACTGCCAAGCAATCTGAGCCCAGGCTTGATCACAGTGAGAGCGCCAAGAACTCTCACAGGCGTGATGACAGCAAGAGAAACGGGGCGGGAGGGGCATCTGGTCCACCCCAGAGACGGGGAGCAGTCCCGGCAGGTGGCGTGGCCCCGAGCGGGGGTCTTCAGCCTTCTCCGGTCTACCCCGGGGGTGCATCATAGGTGTCTGTCTCTTTGAGACGTCGTCCACATTACAAGGATCCACTGGAATGGCCGGCTCTTCGGGGACTCCAGCCGGTTTAATTGAATTTCTCCAGCTCCCCAGCTGCTCATCCGAGACACCATCAAATATTGCCTGTGTTACAGCAATTATGTGTAAAAGACCACTCTGCTTCTGCTCCTTCCCTCCGCAGCCTGCCACCTGCACAGGACCCCTCAGTCACATTTCACCCAGGCATCCAGCGACACGTGCTGCACCTGGAAAAAAGACTCCGCCTCTTTCCTGCGACCAGCTCTTCACTCTGGGCCTGCCCAGCGCTCTTTGCTTTCACAGCACCACCAACATGGTGTCAGTGGCAAGGGTAGCCAGACAGTACCTTCCCTGGACCCATGGCTGGCGGCAAATATCTTCTCCCATTTTATTCATACCTGGATGGGGGCAGAGGGCACATACAGGTTTTCCACTTCAGATTCACCCTGTGCAAAGTGGAAAGCCTGCAGTCCTCTTGAAAACTCTCTCCGAGACAATCCTCAGTCTGTCTCTTCCTGCGTAGTGTCCTTCCGCAGCTGGGAGAGCCGCACAGAGCTGTCCCGCCTTGTGTGTGACCTGCTGGGGTTGGCTATTTCTTCGTAGAATACGGGGGTGCTTAAAGCTGACAGTGCTCAGCAGAAATTAGGAACGGGAAAGTCTAACTTAAGGCATGTAATAACTTAGCTCCTCTACAGGTAGCTTGGATCTGACCCCTGAGCAAACCAGTGTCAGGAGAGGTGGCGAGGTTGGCTGACCCCAGGGCTAGGTCTGTGCTCATGTGAAGTTCTCAGAAGGTGGCAGAGCTTGCTGCCTGCTGGCAGAGGCGGGGCAAAGACAGCTCATCCCAGGGCACTGTGAGTGTGCCCAGGTAAGTGTAATTAGTGTAACTTCCACAACAATGATCCGTCATTTCCTTACCCACGTTTTACAGACAGGAGCACAAGTTTACACCAGTTACATAACTTTTTTTTTTCTTCCTGTTTTCTAGGCAAAAGAGGGAGCAAATATTTCAATCGGTCCCATTGATGAGAATATCACCCAGTGACACTGTGTTTTATTTCCTGTGTTCCAATTGATAAATAATTTCAACTTCATTGCTTTGCTCATTATCAACCCGCTCAGGAGTAGAATGGTAATCAACTTGAACTTCCCATGTGTTCCCTTTAACTTTCATGTTTTAGCTCACATTAATATCTCGTCACCCATGGGATGCATGCATTTTTTTTCAGCGTTGATGGGAGTTGACCATGCTAGTTAATTCTTATTCTGATTTTTAAAATCAACCTGGACCATTAACAGTAACAGTCTTTCTCGGTCCTTCCACCATGACCGCGTCCTTGTCACCACCGCCACCTTCTCTCCACGCATGCTGCAGCATCGGCCTGCGGTGTCTGGACTCTAGGAGCCAGTCTCCACTGAGAAGAGGCGGAAGCATCAGCGGAAGATTCCAGGGAGCCTGGCTGTGCCCCCTTATCTGCGCGCACAGAGAGTGTAGGAGTAGTTGTCAAGTGCCTGTTAGCCTCCGGAGAGATAAGAGACTCCTTCCACCTTCCCATTTGTCGCGCCCGTTGGCATGCTTACCCAGCCTCAGGGAAACAATCCCGCATCAGTGTCTGCTCCAACCCCTGGCCAGACGCACAGACCCAGGAGACGCTGTGTGTGCAGATACGCTCGTTGCCATTACTCTCGCTGTCCGCTGATGGTGTATTCCTGACGTAACAAGCTTACAATGCGCAGCACGGCATGACCAGGGCTGGGTGTGTGATAGCTCGGACGGGCGGTGCTGGGCTCTGGCCTGGCTGACCAGCCAGCGGCGTCTCTCAGTGGGAAAATGTGAACCCATCAGTCACACGGCCAGCCTTTGCTGTCAGAGCTAATGGGATGCAGAATCTAAACAAAAAAAATGATCCCAGCAGCTCTGTCAGCGTTCCTCTCAGAGGCAGCTGTGCCCACACATTGTCCCCCTCTCCCCAAACCCGTCTACGCGTGAGATGTCAAAGGTCACCGTTGCTTACAGCTGCGGTTCCCCCAGATCCTTCATCAGGATAACTGGCTTTGGGCGAGGCCATCTGTCTTCATTTATCTCTGCAGAGTGTCCCGTTTGGAAAGATGAAATGTCTCTATGAGTTTCAGGTTTTCCGTGAGGGGAAGCCAAGTCGACATCACCATTAATTAGTTGATTGGTTTTCCCTGCTATTGGCTAGTCGACTGTAATGCAGGCACGGCAGGCACACAAATGCAGACAATGGAAGATGAAGGCACAGAACGTTTTTTTGGCTTGGGGACAGACCGAATTGGATGCTTATGGGGCGATCGTGAATACTTCCCGTCTGCATGACCTGCAAGAAAGCACTGGTGAGCCTGGCCGGAGCGCGAAGGCCAGCGGGCCCCCGGGAAGAGGGGCAGCGGTGTCAGCGGTGTGATGTGCAGCGGTTATGATTCTGCTCAAGGCGAGGATGCCGAGAGTAAATACTGACCCTGAGCTGGAGCGGAAATATTAGGTCCACGAGATGGAATTACTGGACTGAAGGCTGACCGGGTCCCAGAACAATGCCCGTGGGGCCTCCTGAGAACCGGGGAGAGAGGTGGGAAGCAGGTCCCACTCCACGGAGCCCGGGGGCGGGTGCCTGTGGAGGCGGCCATGAGCGCCATCACGGCCCTCGCTGGCCAGAAACGGAGATTCACAGAACTGTGCTCTCAAGGTCACCGTCACATGATGGCGCTGCCCTGTCTGCGTTCTCCCCTAGTTCACAGGATGCCTCACTCTCAGCCCACACGCTGCACACATTTCACCAGGCAGACACACCTGCGGCGGCAGCCAGCGGGGCCGAGAAGGCGTCCGGCAGCGCCAGCAGCCCCCGCTGCCCCCTGTGAACGGAACGCGTCCTCACTGATTGCCTCGAATCGCAGGCCCGCCACCGGCCGCCTCGCAGCGTGTAATCACCGCTGCTCACCGCTGCCTGCTGATTTCCCGTCTGAAACGCTTCCGTTCTGGAGTGGGATTCGGAAGCGAGAGGAGGAATGATGATGGCCACGCTGAGGGTCCCCACGAACGGGAACAAGCTGCCCGCTGTTCCCGCCTCATCTCCGTGTCCATGTCACAGTCCGCCCCGATGCTGCTGGGCAGCTGGGATCCTTACAGAACGACGATGTTTCTAAGTAATGCATGGTTTTGGCAGCAGCCCTGAGTCTGAGATAATAAGAAACAAATACATCTTAAATGAGAATGGACCGCTGTCAGCTCCCCTCTTGGCTTGAAGCTAATTACACAAGAACCTATTGCTAATTCGAATGAAACGCCTTAATGTAGTAAAAATGTAGATCCTGGCCAGTGTGGCTCAGTGGTTGAGCATCGACTCATGAACCAAAAGGTGTCCGGTTTGATTCAGCTCAGGCACATGCCGATCGATCCCCATTAGGGGGCGTGCAGGAGGCAGTTAATTGATGTTTCTCTTTCACTTATGTTTCAATCTCTCTCTCCTTTCCCATTTTAAAATCAATAAAAACATATTTTTTAAAAATGTAGGAGGAAACAAGACAAATGACAAAAATAGTGTCTTAAAAAAAGCTAAATGAGCTATAAGAAAAAAGTTATGGGGAAAATCATTAAGAATAAAGTAAAATATTTCTTAATGACAAGAGCAAAACTTTACCAAGATGATAAAAATCACATCCCTAATTTCATGGCCTCAATATTTAAAGCAACAGAAAAGGGTGGGTTATAAAACTCATCAGCAGATCTACCTTCAAAGCAGAGATTATAATAAACCAATAGGTGAAATTGATAGGCCATTTCCCATGGCTTGTTCTGCCTCATTTCATGCTTACTACAATCCTCATTTAATCCGTAAAGTAATCCTATGAGATAGGATTTTTTCTTCAGTTGAGAAAACTGGAAGCACAGAATGGTTAAGTAACTTGCCCTGGGGCACACAGCTAGTAAGTAGCAGACCCTGGAACAGCTGAGCTCTGAAGGCAGAAGGAAAGAGCTAGCTGATCAGCTGTGATTTCACGTGACCTCAAAGTAGCATGCATTGCTTAGTCCTCAGCCTTCCTTCTGTAAAAGGAATGACATGATCGGGTGCAGGTGCCTGGTACAATGTGGTCTCGGTATGTGGAACTCAGCAGCCTCAGCTCCTCTGCCATCCACCCCACCCCACCCTGCTGCCGAGCTCTCTGCGGGGCACTGTCTGCTCACCCCGGTTCCTCTCTTGCCAATTAGTCTAATTTGTGTCCCCATGCTTAAAAAGTTAAAGGAAAACCTCAAGAGAGGCATTGCCAAAGGACAAGCACAAATAACTCACAACAGAAAACACAATAGGCTAGTAATTTCAATAAAGACAAAGGCCACCCGGACGAGTATTCAAAGACATGAAAAATTAAAACAGCCTTTTCAAAGATCAGCTTGGAAAATACTTTAAAAAGCATTGCTACTGCCCTAGCTGGTGTTGCTCAGTGGATAGAACGTGGGCCTGTGGACCAAAGGGTCCTGGGTTGGATTCTGATCAAGGAGGGCATGTACCTCAGTTACAGCCTGGACCCTGGTCAGGTGCATTCAGGGGGCCCCCAGTCGATGCATTTCTCTCACATCGATGTTTCTCTCTGTCTCTCCCTCTCTCTCCTTCTCTCCCTAAAAGCCATGGCCGGGCCCTCGGCAGGGAAGGCAGCCGGACGGTGCTGGCTCCCCGCGCGCACAGGTGCATCGGCTGTGCCAAGAGAGGCTTGCAGAGGGCCTGCGAAACGCACGGTCTCTCCAGACCCCTGCCCGCTGGGTGCCCACCGTATTGTGAATTCTGGGCATTCAGGGCAGCCGCTCGGACTGTGGCCGCGAAGTGCTCCCTCAGCCTTGCCTCTGGCCCACCTGCTCCCGGGAGGGCGGTAGTTAGTGTGTCATAGCTACCAGTCTACCAGTCACTTAGGCTTTTATATGTATAGATTATTTATATTCTACCTACAATCTACCTAGCTTCTATTTATCTTTTATCTATCTACTATCTACTGCCTATTTACTACCTATCTCTCCTCTATCTATCTATCTATTATCTTCTATAATCTATTTACTATCTATCTTTTTATCTATCTATCTATCTATCTATCTATCTATCTTCTATTTACTATCTATTATCTACCTATTTATCATCTATCTATCTATCTATCTATCTATCTATCTAGTTTCTTCTATCATCTATCTTCTATCTACCTATCATCTATCTATCATCTATCTATCTATATCTATCTATCTATCTATCTATCTATCTATCTATCTATCTATCATCTACCTACCTACCACCTACCTTTGATTTCAGTAAGTGTGGGCAGCGCTGTTCCTTTCTAACCCGTGCACTGCAGACTGCTTGGTGCAGCGCTTCCCTGAGCATTGTCAATGCTGCACACCACCTTCTGTGTCTGCTCACACCACCCTCAGGTGCTGCTCAGAGCAGTGTCTAACTGTAACTCACTCTTGGAGTAAATCACTTGTCCTTTCGGGACTGGGTTGCTTTTATGCTAATGTGGTAATGAGGTTATGCCTAGGTCCGTGCTGTGCACTCCATCACATTTCGAGGTCTCAGCAACAATTAGCAGCAAGCCCAAAGTGCCACTTTGTGTGAGGGGATTAACTCATTAGCTTCTTTTGCAGTAATAACAATACATTTACGCTGCTACTCCTTTCTGTTCTAATTTTAAGAACTTAATCTCATAGTTGAGTCTATTAGACATAAGAATAATTAAGGAAATAATTATAAATTGTTACAAGAAAACAATTACTAATACAATTTTGTATTTATATCTAGTAGTTTCTATGCAAATACACATAAACTTATGTTTATATAATGAAAAAATGTGCGATACAAATATATGCATAGAGAACAAAATTGGGGTAACCCTGTAATATACAATATACATGACATTGTATATTACAGAACTACAAATCATGTTTTAAATTAAAATGATAAATAAACATTCCTAAATATTATTTATTAAATTAAATATTTAAAAAATTACCCAGCAGAACGGCATCAAACTTCATTATAGATTTGCATTTTAGCCATTCTCTTTTATTGGTGCTTTGTTTTCTATTATAAATAATGCTGTTAATGGTATTATTATTATAGTTTCTTTCAAATAAATTCTTGGGAATTTAATTACTGACTTAATTAGATTGTTTAGTTAGGCACACTGTTTTGTTTGTTTTTAAAACCTGCAATGATTTACACTCACACCAATAATGCACATTTGTGAAATCAGTCCTTTGGCTTTAAAATCTTTAGGATGAGCTATGAATGCATGGATCCGGTCACATGGTCTTCCTGCCATCCCTGAGGCTGGGCCTTCGCCCTATTCGCATCAGCATCTGTGCTCGCCCTCTGCCGCTGACGTCCTGGTCTCAGCATGAAGAACAGATCCGCGAAAAGAGGCGTCCCGTTACTTCCAGACGCTGATCTCTGACTCAGGGCCTCCCCCCCTCCTGTGTGTTTGACCTCGGTCGCTTACTTTGAACGCTCACCTGTGGAAAAACAAGCATAAAGGACCGGGCTGGGGGCGGGGCGGGGGTCCTGGCGGCCGCAGGTGGACGTCATGAGTCAGGGAGGCGGGGTTGGAGGGCGTGGTAATGAGGGCCAATCAGCCGCAGGGCATGCTGGGATTTTGGCCAGGGCCAATCAGCCGCAGGGCATGCTGGGATTTTGGCCAGGGCCAATCAGCCGCAGGGCATGCTGGGATTGATAGCAGTCTCCCTTCTCATCCAGTGGGAGCATTGGGAGGTGCCTCCTGGCCGGACAGAGCCCACCCGGCTGGCCGTCTGCTGAGCACCCGGCCTGCGCAGAGTGATGCCGGCGTGTCCTGCTCTGAGGATGGGACAGGGACCTGGATGGTGACCAAGGTAAGGCCGGTGGTGGAGGAGACTCGTTGGCGGGAAAGCTGCTGGGGACTGGTCTCTCCTGGAGGCCACTGGGCAGGCAGGACTGGACAGGGCAGGGCTCGGGGGAAGGGCCTGGGGAGGAGGCGGCTGCTGAGGCCGCAAAGGCGGGTGGGGAGGTGAATGATGGTATGTTGCAATCAGCTGCCTTCGTTATAGGTCTAGGCCAGTGGTCGGCAAATTCATTAATCAGCAGAGCCAAATATCGACAGGACAACAATTGAAATTTCTTTGGAGAGCCACATTTTTTAAACTTAAATTTCTTCTAACGCCACTTCTTCAAAATAGACTCGCCCAGGCCGTGGCATTTTGTGGAAGAGCCACACTCAAGAGGCCAAAGAGCCGCATGTGGCTTGTGAATCGCAGTTTGCCGACCACGGGTCTAGGCAGAAAGGAGAATGAATGCACTTTTCCATTTGAAGCTGAAAAAATGTGCCTTCTGTGTGATTTTATTTTTTCTATTTTTAATGTATGTATTTTATTTTTGCTAGTATTACAGATGTCTCTCATTTCCCACCCCCCCTCCTCCTCCCTGCCCCTACCCACCACTCCAGATCTTCACCACCCTGCTGCCAGGGCCCCTGGACTGAGCATGTAAGTACAGGCATTCGTTGGTTTGTCTCTTCTCATCCCCCCAGCTCCCCATCGAGGTATGTCCGTCTGCTCCACGCCTCTCTGCTTGGGTGTTATTCTGTTGGTCAATTCATTTTGCTCATTGGATCTCACAGACAAGTGAGATCATGTGATGTTTGTCTTTTTTCTGAGTGGCGTACTCATTTAGTATAATAGTGCCCAGGCCCATCATGCTGACCCAGAAAGGTAAGAGCCCTCTTATTTACAGCTGCAGAGTACTCCCTGATGTGAATATCACAGCGTTTTACCATCATCCGCTGATGGGCTGTTTCCAGACCTTTGTTTCCGTTGCCAATTTTTACTTTTCTTGTGCTGCTGTGAACAT